AGCAATTCCAGGAAGAAACGATCACACAGGAATTCAGTGGAAGCTGGCTTCTGGGAAGTGCTCTCCTTTCCCACCCACAGACACTAGGTCCTAGCAACGCGAACACTCCATCCAACCTCTCCTACCACCAGGCACACACATGTAGAAGCTCTACTCCTTTTCCTTTGCCTTCTTGTTCATTCTCCATGAGACATGTTGATGGTCATCCTCCTGCTTGCCCCACCCCACACCAATCACCCCTATCCTCCCCAAATGCTCTATCATCAGATTGACTTCGGGCATCTGAAGCCAAAGGGGCAGCCAAGGGACACCTGTAAAATGTCCCTAGGAAGGAGAATGGCAGGGTATATTGCATCCTGCCCAGACTTCAGGCACAATCTTCACTGCCCAAACGCCTGGAAGGAGAAGGCAAGGGAACTACCTGCCAGAGAGGCAGCCAACGGTGTGGAAGGAGGCCTCCAGAATAAAAAGGTCAGCTAGGACCAAAGGCAAGTCTTGAGCCAGATGTTGACTAGACCTCCTGCTGCTGGCAGCTGTTGCATCCCAGGAGACATTACAAGCAGCAGAGGCTGAGACTGTGCAGGAGAGGAGACACAAGGCTCCTCAGGAAACTGAGGAGTGCTTCTGCCATAGATGCAGAATCAGGAAACCAGCTCTGGCTGGTTACTCCAAGAGTAACATTCCCAAATTCTCCTAACAGACCAACCACTAAGGCTGCTTATAGGACAGGACAAATGGTTCTGGGTCTGGCCAGGAGAACTGAAGGTGGGAAGTTTTGCCCCTCACGTCACTTGAGGTTTCACAGGTTTCCTGTCGCAGCAGGCAGTTTGCTGCTGCTTCTGTGCTGCACAGGCGCAGGGACTGTGTCTGTGGGCGAGGGTGAGTTGGGGCAAAGCTGGGTCTGGAAAGCAGAGAGAGGGGGGCAGCATTCAAAGTGCAAGAAGGGCAAAGCAGTCAGTGAACTCCAACAGCACTGCGGTATCTGGGTCAGCACTGGGACAATCAGTCACCTCAACAGAAGCGTCCAAAACAAACTAATCTCATCCCCCCCACCGTCACCCAAGCCACTGTAGTAGCACAGCTTTCCTGGGTGAGCTTAACCAAGTCAATTATTCACATGGGTTAGCATGGCCAGAAGATGAAAGTGCAAACTGGTGCCCAGGACAGCAGTGGCTGGGCTCGGCTTGTTTACTTGCTCATATTTAGATGACGCAGTATCAGGGAGGAGCATGATGGCCTTGAAAACCGAAACAGAAAGCAGAGGCAGCTGCCTGAGAGACTATAGAGGCTGTGGTGTCAGAGCCCAGCAGGAACGGACCTGACAGCAGCCACAAACCGGCTCAGCTCGCCAGGGCGGCACCTCAGCCCTCTCCAGCGTGTTTCGGCTCTGCGTCTAGCTGGATGGGCAGCCTGTAAGTATCCTCCACTGGGTCCCCTACCTTTTTAATGCCACTGGCATTTGGGGGAGCTGCCAGGAGAAGTGGTGCTGCAGAGTGCAAACATCTGGGAGTGAGCAGCTCCTTCCCCTGCTGCGGGACACTTTTGGGGCAGTTCCTCAGCAGTCTGGTCTGCGTGTCACTCCCTGATTTCTGTTTGCAAGCAATCCTTAGCTTGTCAGTGGTCTTTCTTCACCTGTGGTTTCCCTGCAGTTGATCCTGCCTGAGGGGGAAGGAGGGATTCTTGGGGGGGAGTAAGTGGCTTGAAGGAAAGGTGCAAAGGCCAAAGCTGCCTTCCCTTCCCACTGCTCTTACACAGCATTACTCCCCCCTGCAGTCAGGGAGAGGGGATGCAGGAAAGCCAAGCCTTCTGGGGGCTTTTTCAGTGCAAGAGAAAATGCCCATTCCCCCACCCCTTTGCAGACAGCCTGTTCACTGCAGTGGGGTCTGGCGGGTCCACAGAGGTGTTTGTCACTGCACAGAGGCCAAATCCTGCACCGCAGCTGCGTGCCTTGGCTTCTTCATCCTGCTGCCCTTGCCCAGGCACTCAGCCTGCAGCTCCCTGGGGGGAAGGTACAGCCCGTCTAGGAAGGTGGTCACCTGCCTGCAAGCTGACAGAGGGAAGGGCTGTGCAGTCCCGGCAGCACAGAGGGATCCCTATGAGCCCCATCTCACAATCAGACACTCCAGGGAGCTCCTGAGCAATACACTGAGATTCAGAGCTCTCCCATAGTGAAGTCCAGTGCTTTCCAGCAAGCCTGCCCAGAAAGAGGGGGATTCCTGAAGCCAGGCTGGGGCTCGCTGCGCCATGCTCAGGTTCATCTCAGAGGTCTTTTCCAACCGAACGATTCCGTGTGTGTGTGTGTGTGGTAGAGTTGCAGACTCTCCCATCCAAAGGCACAGGTGTCTCCTTAGAGATGGAGGGACAGCAGATGTCTGCAAAACATCCCAGCTGTACGCAGGATGACAGCTCTTTCCTGTTTATCCCCTGCCTCTCAACAAGCCTCGGGCCAAAGCTGTGGAGCTCACAAGTGCTGGGTCTGTGGCTGCACTGGCGGCAGGGCACCAGGTCTCGGCTTTCATTGCCAAACCATAGTCTCCAGGCCAGCTGTGCCCTCTCTACCCCAGCTGGCTCAGGGCACCTGCACCAGGCATATTTCTGTCCCTGTCACAGTCACACCTGGGGACAGGGATATACCTACTGGGCTGGGCTAGGGTGGCAGCAGGAGACTGAGGGGCAAATCTGCCAGCAATTTGGCAGAGTGAACAAAGGGGCATTGCTGGGGGAAGAAAATAGGTCCTTAAAGGCATGAACCTCAAAGCAGAGGAGAGGGCAGAGATAGCATGTGATTTCCCTGGGCCCTCACACATGCAGAGATTACACAACAGCACAGAGTCTCTGAGGTGACTTTCGTGCACCCCTGCCATATACATCCACAAACCTGCTAGGAATTTAATTCTCTGTTCCCTCTCCAGTAAACATGTGCAACTAGGACAATTTTTAATTGATTTTATATTTTATGGAGGTGGGGGCTGGGTAAATAAAAGGTAATGTGAGATGATTGAACAAAAAGCCTGTGTTTCTGTAAGCCTGACTGCCTTAGGGAACTGGTGTAAAGAAACATGACAGTAAGAGCTGGTGGGTGGGCACGGCCAGGAGCTGGCTGGGCTGTACTGGTCCCAGCACTGACAGAAATCCTTGGGCAGCTGGTTGGCTAACAGAGACACCCTGCAAGCACAGCCTTTTCCCCCTCTGAAGGGTGCAAGACAGTGTGGCAGGAAGAACGGTGGGTGGGCATGAGCCCTTGCAGGACAGGGAGAAAAAGAGCAGCAATGCCTGGCATCAGGAGAACACGTGTAAACCAAGAGACGATACCAGGGGCAAGACAAACCCTGGTGAAATTACATGTGCGTGAGATCTCATTCTGCAGCATGCTCTCAAGGATATTTTCCTGGTCATTTGTGTCTTTATTGTAGATTCAGAACAATGGGCACCCTCCATGTGAACTTCCAGTCTCTCCAGAAGCCTGTTGTGAAGAAGACCTCTAAGGGAAGCTACAAGAAGTAAGGTATTGACCAGAAGAAGGAGACAGGTCAGTATCTGAATGCTGTGACCACCTCCATGCTGTGTGTGTGCTCCTCCTGGCTATGAATGTGTGGGAGGACGAGTCTGGGAGACAGCAGCTTTATCCCTGTGCACATAGGTGCCCCACTCCCAAGCATCCAGGGAGTGGGAGGGAGATGCTGAAGGGTCTGATCACCAGCATTGCAGTCAGGCACTGGGTACAGATGTGAGCAGGGTCTCTCTTGGCACTCTGAAACCTTTGGCTAGACCAAATCCACAAGCAGCTGTGATGGCCTGGGACATCAAGATGATATACCACTGGGCAATGGGCAGTGGAGGTGAGACAGCAGGACTGATATTGTGAACCTCTTGCAGCGAGGTGGTAAATGATTCACAGGAACTAATGCTTGCCGAAGGCAGGAAAGGGATTATTTGCAGAGCCTCAAGCCAGAGGCTGAGCTTGAAGCCAAGGTCTCTACGCTCCTTGTCCTGTGTCTGTGCCTCTGTGCAGAGCCAGTGCTGTGATGCCGCATGGCTCCGCAGCCAGGGATATTCCTTCCTGACACCACTTCCCTGTTTTTCAGTGCAAAACAGAAGCCTGAAGAGGGCACTGAGGACAGCCCACCTTTCTGGGAGAGGAGCAGGGAGTTGGGCTTGCCAGGCAGTCTGAGAGAGGAGCAAGGAGGACAGCAGTTGCAGGTCAGTCTCTGTAGCACCCATCTACCCAGGCCCCAAGGGAAGGTGAGTGGCTGTGGGTGAGTACTCAGTGCCTGTTTGCGTGGGGCATCAGTCCTCAGGCAACCAGGACAGAGGAGCAGCATGTCTCCCAGCCTCAGAGGGGACAAGAGCTGTGGGCAGTCAACCCTGCTGTTCCCAGAAATGTACTGGCATGCGAAGGCCTTGGGGGCACGTGGGTGCTGGAAACTTTTGGCATCAATGGCATCAGGTGTCCCAGGGCTATGGGGGGTGGGGGGAGGCAGGGGGAGCGCTGTGATTCAGACCCTCTCATGCCTCAGTGGGTCCAAAGATCACAAGGGATGTCCTTGTCTGACCAGAACTGAAAGAAAAGCGATTTCCCAGAATAGCTTTTAACCTTCTCCTTACCAGACAGCAGTATTTTGCTCCTCTCCCAGCATTGCAGTTTGCTGACAAATGCCCCTCTTGTCCAATGTGAAACCATGGTGCAAAGGGCATGTGTGAGGCTAAGGGAGCCACTGTTCTCTCAGTGCTGGTCCAGGCATGGGACATCATTAAGCCACCTTTGCTGTGACCAAAAATGCACCCTCCTTAGCCCAGTGACACATGTGCAGCACAGCCAGAGGCAGGACTGAGATGCTCCTGCTCTACTTACAAGGGGAGCCCTGAGGCCCCAGTGACATTGGCTCAGAGCACACCCTGGGAAGGGTGCCATAACAACCAAAGTGTGTCCTCTGTCTGCCCCTTCATGTTTTACAGCAGGCATCCCTGCAGCAGGCTTTACCATGCATTTGGGCACCAAGATGGGTCTGCTGCAGCAGAAGTGTGTTGGGCGCTTGCTTTTTGTGCTGTCCCTCCTGGAGGCTGCCGGGGCATTGGCCCTTATGTTCTACGCGCTGCTGTGGGAAGCTGGGAACCTGGTCAACCTCCCTGACAAACGCATCGGCTTTTACAACTTCTGCCTGTGGAATGAGACAGCCCAGGCGCTGCAGTGCCTGGACTACAGACATCTGCAGGTGATGGGCATCAGCCTGCCAGGAATTGCGTTAGCCAGGGTTTTTGTGTACACCTGCCTGGTCTTCAGCATCTTCTACCCCATTTTTGTAGCACATGTGAAGTGCACAGAGGAGAGAGAGGGCTGGAAGGTGATCCTCATCATACTCATCATCAAGATGATAATCCTGTCTGGAGGCCTGGGTATATTTCTTTTCCAAACCTCACAGTGGATTCATCCCTCTGATTTCACTGGGGGCTTCCTAGCACTGGTTGGGACTCAGGTTATGCTACTGATCCAGATTCTCACCATCACTATGTACCTTAGATGGGCCAAGTACACACACCTGCATCAAAGCCCTTTTACTGAGAAGGCCCTGCCCATTGAGATTTGACAGCAGAGAAGATGATACAAGAGCTATTGATAACCTAATTTAAAAGAATAATCCTACTAGAGCTTTAGTCACTGGCAGGAATTTGATCCTTAGTCCAAAGGCCCACGTCCAGCCATGCTCTGGCACACAGCTGTGACTGCTGCCGCCAGCTGGCAACGCTCCTGCAGGAAGCAGGCAGCAGGCACAGCATGGGAGCTTCCCGGAACAGCAGTAACGCACCCCTCAGCCTAGGGCACAACTTCAATGCAATAGTGATTCTGGCCCCGACCTTGAGGACAGCAAAGGGGACAGATCAGAACCAGCACACAGTGGGCACATCCCTCTGGCCATATATAGCCTAAGCATAGGCAGGCAGAGAAGCAAACAGGCTGCCTTTCTGGGAGCTGCCCAAAGAAACTCTACTCCTTCTCCATCCCCTGGACTAACCAGGGATGTCTTTGAGGCAATTGTCACTTGAGGAGCTGTGGCTTCACACTGCCATCACAGCAGTGGCAGCCCCAGTGGTGCACACTCTTGAGCTGGATCACCTGTACTTCACCTGCTGGAATAATATCTGCAGTGACTGGCCCACATCCAACCCCAGCAGAGCACCTGGAAGGGCAGCCTAACAACTTGCTGAACACTGAACACAGCTCTAAGGAGAGTTCCCACAAGAAAGCAGAGGATTTTGGTGCAGAGCCCCAGGTTTGTCCCCACCGATATGACGGGGCTGAGACCAGCACTCCAGCAGCCATTGAGAGTCCAGGAGAGATCGGTTCTGTGCAAGGGCAGCCCACTGCAGAGCCAGCTCAGCCCAACACACGCCCCACACAAAGGTGGGCTCAGGGAGCAGGGCCAGGGTTGCCACAGCCTCGGGTGCGGTGTCCCAGCTGGGCCATCATAACCCCCACTGGATGGGGTCTGTCCACCGTGGAGGTGCACAGCACTGCTCCATACCATGTCTGTAACCTCGCACAAAGAAGCATCTGCTTTCCCCCTCATCCCCTTTGGGTGCATGAGGGTCAGTTTTCTCTCCTGCTGCAGTCTTGGTGGAGCTCTGTCTGGTGATGCTAGTTTGACTGATTATTCGTTTCAATAAAGGTTCTCATACCTGCCCCCAGCCTCATGTGGTTTGTTCATCCCCCCCTTTAAACTGGGAAGAGAATGCTGAGCCACCCTTACCCCTTCCTAGACCCCCGTGCACACTGCCATGGGGTCAGCCCCTTGGGATGGTCCCTGTCCCTGTTAGTCTGCTCCCACCCATGTCTTCCTCAGCTATGGGAGGCCTTCCCCAGCCTGGAGGCAAATTCAGCACCAGGCCCAATGGCGACAGCCTGCCAGTCCCCACTACCAGCTGTCACAGAGGGACCACACGGACAAGGGAGGCCCAAGGCTGAACCATGACTATCTAGCTCTGCATGTTGCAGTCATGGGAAAATTTGGTTGATTAAAATGGGTAGGTATTTGTTTAAGCTGTAGAGTTAAAAGAACACTTTGACCAATCAAGGTAATTAAAGTAGGTTGATGATTAAGTAGTTAGAATAAGTATAAGTACTTAGAGAAGGTAAGTACCATGTTCGAGAGAAGAATAGTTGCAAAAAGAATTAAATAATAGCATGCAGGATAATAGCTGTGGTCAGACAATCATGAGAGTAGGCCATGGCTTTTCTTTTCTCTCCATGTTGAAATTATATAGGGATAAGCTTTTGAAATAATTCAATGTCTTATTTGGCATGATAGTGAGGAACCAATCAAGGTAAAGGGCAAATTAAAAAGCGAACATTTTATGCATGCTTGTATAATCTTGTAATATTGCTTTGTTAAAGATGTATAAATGGGCTGTGAAAATGTACGGACTTCAGAGCACAATTAGAGGAGCTATCCTCCGTGTTTCCCTAGTGCTGCAATAAAGAAGTGCCTGCTTATCTGCAACTGCGTAGATAAGTTTTCTTCTTGTGACTGCAACCCCATTAACATGCAGAGCCAGTAAAGGCCTTCCAGGGCCAACAACTTCCCGCTCCCCTCCAGTCCCAACACTGACCCACCAAAGGGACACTCACAGAAACTCGGATGTCCTCTTTAATCTGTCCATGCTCTGAGATGCCAAACAGACACGCACATAACCTGACCCAGAGCCAAATACCACTGAACCCAGCATGCACTAGGAGAAGTGAGTGCCCCTCTCCTTTTCCCCCATGGCCTTCAGGGGCCTCCTACCAGCTCCATAGGCCACCAACCTGGCAGATACACAGCCCACTCCAGGCCCTCCTCCCGCCATCCTCAGTGCCGTGGCAGAGGACACTGTACCCACTGTCCTCTTTGCTCCTGGAGAGCTGCAGAGATGGTAACGTTAGCTGAAAAAGATCTCCCTGACGTATTTCAGAATATCGTCCTGAGAGTCCTCCCAGCCTGTCCTCGCTGCATCGGCATCAGGAGCAGGGTCAGGAAGGGACAGGAGAGCCGGCCTGCGGTCACTGCGTCCCCTGGTGTTGGTTGTGCTTCCAGGAGTCTTAATAGGTGGTGGCTGGAGCTCCTGTTCCTCTCCGCTTCCGGGCCAGGCCTTCTCCTTGTCTTCCTCACACTGTAGATTCTGACCGAAACAACAACCAGACCCAGCTGTGCGCGACTGCACCGCAGGAGCACCCCAAGGGGCAAGCAGGGGCAGCCCCCACATCCCCGCGGGCACCCCAGGTCCGTGCTGTTTTCGTCCCGCAGCACCCGGCGGGGTGGGTGAGGGCGGGA